AGAGACGTAAAGTTTCGTGTAACACTCCTTTGTTAAGCCAGATTGAAAGATTTCCTAGACATTAACCTCACTGAATGCATGTTCTGACTTTGGCCTGCCGTAGGTCAGTGACCTTATAAGGTACACGTAAATTCTGAAATCAAAACGATCCAGTATTCAATTGTCTACAGCTATGCAAAATCTGTCGCGGCTGAACCGCGCCGCTCAAAAACTATTCCAGAAAACCTTCGGGGGGGGGGGGGGCAATTTGATCCCCCCAACGAGCGCGCGTTAAATGGTACGTAGAGGAGTACTTATGCTTTCTATTGCATTAACTAAAATGCATCTGTTTTGCCAACGAAATTTTGGTTTGTCGAGAACATGCGTGTAAAAGGATGGCGATTGCCACATATATTCTTGGCAGTCCATTCTTGTGAATACATAACCAAATAGCTTCCAAAGCACCTGAACACGTAATCGTGTATCATACGCAGACTTCACACTTAAGTATCCAAGAGATAGAAGCAACTGCACCCCTTCTGTTTCAAAAAAGTGTCAGCATAGTGGCGACCACGCTGACACGTCTGGTGCTTGGAGGTGCACGCACCACCCTCCGCATTTATGGTGTAGGACTACTTTGTTAGTACTCGTGTAGGGATGTGCCGAATTATAATGCATGATCACCGCCATATGTTCACAGTTGGGAGGTACATCTTCCCCCTGACTACATCACAAAAAGGAATGGAATTGCCACGCTGTGTGTGATATGTTCTAGAGTAAAAAAAAACATTGGCGTGGTGCTAACTGCCTTTTTGTGAGGAAATCTGACATGCGCACTGTCTCTGAGCCTTGCATTTTCTCAATCTAACAATGGATTATATAATAACACCGTCTAACTGGTACCTTATCGCAAACTGAAGTGTCGATTATTTTCAGCAAACTCCTTAGTCAAAGTGCCGAAGCACCACGAGTGTCAAACCTTTCTTGCTTACATAGGCTTCAAACTCGTGTCAAAACGCCGACCACACTATCTGTAGTGACGGCAGTTCTGGTGACGCATCCTGATACCAGTCTCAACTTCCCCGTCCTTTCAGTTCTCGACATGTCTGTTCGACATGTCTGTTCCTCTGTTCGGTTCATGTCGTTCAAGCTCAAATTCACTGAAGGTGTAAGTTGCTCCTTACCGTGCACATGGCACATTTGTCGTAGCCTCTCCACGGCTATTGTGTCATGCGCACACTTTTCTCCGGCCTGCACGGTCAGGCCACGCCACTCTGCATGCTGTTATTTTGCCCCTCGGGTCATCTTCCATGGCCGATAGGTGATACTTATACCAGCAATCATATCAAACCGTCTTACTGAGATAAAGTCTGTGAATTACACTCAATTCTAAGCTACCCACAAAGCTGCAGTTTTGCGTAGGGTCGAAATGGAAAGTCATTATTTTGTAAATCGACCTTTATAGGCTAATTTTATACAAAAATAATCTTTGACATAAGAAACACAAAACTAAGCGACCACATCCAAACAGCTGGCATGAGTGTAGGAACAGGGGGGGGGGGGGGAGAGGGAAGGGGACCATGAACCCCCTTTTCAAGGTGGGGGACAGCAGTGTTAACTACCCCCGCCCCCCTTTTTTCAGATTAAGGTTGCATTTAGCTTACTTTTGCACTGCATTTAACATGCATGCCGATTTACCTAGTTCACTAGCCGTCTTGCACAAGGAGAGTCATCTTTTTCCATTTGCTCATTGGCCCTCGGTTAGTGCTTCACTCGCAAAGCCGACGCCGCGCGGCCTGCGGTGACTGCAACGCCAAAAGTCGAAGCTGTTGTTCTTGACTTGCAAGCGCATGTTCGAAACCATATTTCAAAGTTTTTTAATCAGTTATCAAGCCTGGCTTAATATTAAACATTTTAAGACGATCATGGATTAGCCATGTTAATACGAATTTGGGGCCATTTTATCTACAATCTACGCTAACGGAGTCCTCAAAGGTTCTGAAAAACCCAATACAACATGGAACTGGAGTCCATGTGACAATTGTTGGACCACCTGCGGCAATCAGGAATGTTGTTGCGTCAATCAGGGGTTCTGTGCTGATCCGGGGCCAACTGGCGGGTCAGAAGGCCTCTCGTGTCAGGGAGGGGAGCGATGGGATACCACATATCCTTCTAATCGCATTCGGATCGAGCAGGAGATCCGTTGTGTGTCGCCAAAATAACACAGCGAAGGCACTGTGCGATGGGACGGAATGACCCTTCAGCACTTGACCAGGAAACGGTAATGTGCCCCTGGTGTTCTACACAAGAGGTAGGCCAGGTAGGAAATATGGGGTCTCATTATTGTTGAGTAGAGTGGGGGTCTTATTATCGTTGAATAAAGTAGGTCGGAATGGGGGAAAACACACAAACAAGGCCATCCTATGCTTTCCTGAGAACGTTGATTTTTCAGAATGGATAAGTGGAACAAATGACATCAAAAGGTTTGAACATACCCGCCACCTGGAGAGCAAGGACAGCGATGGCCTGGGTCAGCTTCCGTAAAACCGAACGGCGTCGGCAACTGCAAGCGCCACCAGACGGCGGGCACCGTGTTAATGAGTCTTCTGGATAGTTTTATAGGTACAGAAGCACGACAACAGAGATTCTTCCTTTACTCTTCCAGTTCGACCATTATATTCCAGCACCACTTCGCGGTGGTTGAAGAGCCCATCCGTTCTTACCATCAGCCTAAAACTCACATACGTGAAATATGAGCCCAGGCTGCCTTCTCAGTGTAAGATTTGATGTCCTGAGCGTTCACAGGTACTTTTTTCAGAAGCGTCATCATTTTGGTCTACCCGTTGACCACTACTCAATATTAACTGTTCGGCCGACACTGCGCGGCCTGAGGAGACTGCAACGCCTGGTGTCGTGGTTTCGTGTCTAGGATTTGCTATTGCGCATGCTCGAAAGTACACCACATGCCTTGACCCACTGGTCGATTTAAGTGTTTAAATGTAGTTATTTCAGAAACGTCATCGTTTTTGTCCACCGGTGGGCCACGGCTAAAAATAAGTCACTTTTCGTTGCTGAGATTTGCGAGCGCGCATGTCAAAAACCACGTTACATAAATTGTATCACTTATCAATTCTGACTGACTGTTAGACATCTTCACACAAGCATGGTTTGGCCACGCTAATACACGTTGTAGACCATTCGATATACAATCAAATCTTCATCTCCAAAGTTCGATCAGACATATCGATCCACAATCTTCCTTCGCGATGCGCTTAATGTCTGTAGAACCTAGCTAATTTTTTACAAAGCTTTTAAATTCCATCGTTTTAGAAAGAGCTATACTACCCAATCGCAAGTAAAGGCCGCCGATGATTTAATCCATAGGGCCGTTCAACCCATGATTTCTGCAGTCTATTGACTTCAGAATACAAGCAGAATTGATCTCACGGTATCTTCTGGTTTCTGTTCCGGTTAGAGGGTAGAAATAGCGATTAAACTAAGAAAACCGTGTCCCTTGTTAACAAGTAAGCTCTATCGGGGGATTTTTTAGAGGGGGAGGGGGGGGGGGGCACCACAAGAGGGGCTTTTGTAAACCCTGTGTTCCTCCTTGGCGAGACTCTGGCTACGCCCCTGCCTACACACAAAAACAGATCGAGTTGTCTTCGTTGAATGATGGACAAGTAAGACAAGTTGAACAAGTAAGACAAGTCAAGACAAGTTGAGTGATGGTGAACAAGTAAATATCCTTTTGGCCAATTCATGCCTATGGTAGGCAGCGTCCCGGAGGCTTTTCTTCTGCGGTGGTGTGGTGTGAAGTGAAGATGATTAGGAAAATATGCTGTTGCAGGTGTCCAGCATCTGTTTCACACACCAATTAGTAGTAATGCTGATCCAGAAATCTGCAACAAAGCGGAGATACGATCAATTAGCAGTCAGTTATGCGGGAGACAGCCTAGCCAGGGCAGTGGCCGCCGACGACGGACGGGAGCAGCGTCCAGATAAGAAATATATGGCAGAAAGGCCTTCATTCTACAGCTTGGTTTTTAAAGGAGAAACTCCAGTTTAACGGTTTTTGTCACATTGCTTTTGGCAGTTCCAAGCCCCCACATTTGCTTCCGCCTAAAACGCAACGAAAAGTCTTGTCTCTTGAAAAGCAGCCAGCGAAATGAAGGCGCATGAAAAATCTGTCGCGCTACGAACCATCGATTCGCTTTCAAAATTTTCACCAGCCTATTTCCAGGCCGTATTTCGACATCTACCCTGTGGAGGCAGATGCCCCCTAATGACCCAAAATGCCTACCCGCTCGTGGAATTTCGCCTCCCCACGAAAGATGATACTGAAATGTTGAAATGAACGAAGAATCTTGGGAAGTTGGATAGCCTTATTTGCCGAATGACATAGATGACTCGAATAGGCAAGATTGTGCATCAGTGAGAAACAGCTCTAGATGCATACCTAGCACAGCAGCCACGACGTTTGAATAAAGAGAGATAACAACCTCCACCTTTACCCTCTCCCCCCGGTCATCGCGCTTGCTTTCCAGAAAAAGTTCCTGAAGTACTCTCTGAGCCTGACCACCTTCACTTTTTGAAACGTTCTTACCCCTATGGTTTCTGGGAAAGGAAAGATGAGTATCATCGGCTGAGCCCCCCCCCCCCCCCCCCCCCTCTACCCGATGTGCGGCAGTACCCGAGGTTGGACCAAAAGTTGAATCATGTGCGCTGTTGCATATGATTTGACTGTCCAGCCTTTGTTAGCCGGGTACTCTTTCCTTCTCAGCAATCTGTGGCAACGCTCTCGATTCAGAGGGCGAAAAACTAACTTTTATTGCCAGCATAGAAACCTCATACTTGAAGAAAGACTTTTTAGTATGCACACATCTTTTTCTTTACAACATTTGGTGCCATATAGGAAGCAATGCACATGTACGACAGATAAGGCGTAGCTGCGACATTCAGACGTGACACCCGGTACACGCATTCTAATAGTCCGGAATGGGCCGGGTATTCCGAGACGCGTGGTGGCGGTGGTTGAATGTCCCTGTTCCGCAGTGTCAAGCCAAGATGGTCAGGAAAAAAATCGATAACCGAATTCGGGTGTTGATCGAAAATGGTGTTGCTCTTGGTCATCGAACGATGTTTGTTGTGGTTGGTGACAAAGGCAGAGATCAGGTAAGTGTGGAAAATGGGTTTTGATATGTGCACCCTGCTTTACAGCCATTATTTGTCAAATTTGTGATGTAAGAGTTATTTATATGTTCACAATGGTTATTATAAGTTGTGAGAATGAACGTTAACATGGTTGCATATCAACGAATGAAGTATGCCATAAGATTGGATTTCTAGGTATTTTTTGTGATGTACACAACCTGTTTTTATGGTGAAATTGCGGAGTTCAAAGTAAATAACTGCCGTAGACAGAGCAGAAGGTCAGGGTATACATTGCCACCTCATGTTAAGAAAGCATCGTACATCAATCATTGTTTTTAAGGCAGACCATATCATAATTAATAGTAAAACAGGTCATCTAAGCTCCTGCCTTGGAACTTAAATAACTACAATAGCGAGCATCCGAGCGCAAACACGCAGCAACTATGACCCCGGCGGCATTTCTACGCATGATGGTAACATTACTGCATAATCAAACATTACTGGGCATCAAGAACTATATAAATGTATGAGGCCAAGGTAATAAATTCAATAAAATGTGTTCTTGTGTATCCAAGCAGTCTTCCATATTGTTTGTAGATTAGTCAACATGGTGGGGAAATGTGACGTTTTTGCGTGGGGGCGAAAAGCAAATTGAGAATATGGCAGCTAAACAAAACTTCTTAATACTGTACATATATATGGCATGGAACATGGATGCCAAGGGGACACTGAGTTGAATGGGATAGGGTGGGGGTTAGGTTAGGTTAGGTTAGGTTAGTTTAGGCTATGTTCTGGACTATTTTGGCCTGTCCGTTTCATAAACGTACCTAGATGTGATAAGAATCTTTTTCATTGCATTTTTATTGTTACCTTGGTCCCATACATTTTTGATGGTTCTTGATGAGCAGAAATAATGTAATTACACAACAGTAGCACAAATGATGCTGGGGAGTCAAGGCGGTGGGGTGCGTGAGGCGCTCGGGGGCTTGCTTGGCTCAGTAAATATGAAAATTTGAAGGTAGGAGCATGAATCTACCTGTCGTAAGAGTATTTATAATATGTTCTGCCTTAAACATGACAAATGGCGTACAATGATTTTTTGTAATGTTAGGTAGCAATGTATACCTGTACTGAGGAGAAAATTATGATTCCTCACAGTGATTTTTCAAGCCCAGGAAACCATAAATTGGTGCAATATTACATGTTGTATTTCATCCTTTACCATGGTATCATAGAGGCTGTTTTGTCATTTTCCTTTGTTCCTCAAAGCTTCTCCAAGTTAATTTATTGTTCCTGTTGCTCTTCCAAGCTCCTTAAAGGTCTTTGCTAACCTTCTCTAACCTAGAATTCAAGGATTTTTTTAGAAAAGTTTGACAGAGGCTGTGGTGGATGAAAATCATGGAGCCTTCTGCAGTTGACCTCTCACCATTTTAAAGCTGTTCACATTGGCTCAGACTTCAGCTTCAGCTATGTGGAATTGACAGATAGCTTTGGCCCTGAACATCTCAAGCCATTGATCTGGCAGTCTGATTTTTTCACTGTGATTGCAGCTTCACATCAAAACAGTATTGCTTTTCCTGGCACATTGACGTATTGTGGTAACATTTTGCCTCAACCACTTTGCAGAACCATCATATTATTGGACATCACACAGTGTTACCAGTCACAAAACAGCTATGGTTCCACAAAACATGTTTTACACTAGAATCTTCCCAAGTTTGAAGCTGCAGGCTTTGACTTTGGCCTCACATGACTTGATTGATGATGATTGTGATGATGATGACAATCACATGATGATTCAGCTTCTGAACCAACACCCTGTCTTGGCCCCTATGCCTGCTGGCATCTATTGTTTGGTGCAGTACATAAAACTGTAGGATATGCTGCTTTCCTTATAGGAGATCATCTGTGTTATGTGCTGGGTTACAGCTGACCTGTATGCAAGCTTGTTGCCTGATACATTGTCTGTGGAGATCAGGCCTGTATTTGATTTCCATCCCACTGGGCCTGGATCATGCTTGCCCCAGGCACAGACACCTGTTTTGAATAAACCCCAAGTACTGCAAGCTTGATTTGGAATCATTTGCAATGCAGAGCAATTAAGCACATGATCAGTATTTGACTCAAAACTACTCCATGTTTAAGGATTGTGCATTGGCAAGGTGTTCATGGTCAGAGCATTCATGGCCAGAGCAACAAGCTTTGGTTAGGCTATGGCCCCAATACTGTTGACTACAAATAGAAGGAGCACTGTTGCAAGACAACATGGCTTGCAGGTGCAAGGTACATTGCTATTTTTAGAGCTGTGGAAAAATATGAGAACAAATAAAAGCGAGCAAAAGATGGCAGGCCTCATCTGTTATGATTTGATTTATGTTTGTTCAATTTGATTTATTTATGTTCCAGGTGGTCATTCTGCACCACATGCTTTCCAAAGCCAGCATTCGCGCCCGGCCCAACGTGCTCTGGTGCTACAAAAAGGAACTGGGCTTTAGCAGTCATAGAAAGAAGAGGATGCGGCAGCTCCAGAAGAAGATCAAGTCGGGGAACCTGAACGTCAATGAAGACGACCCCTTCGAGCTGTTTGTTGCGTCAACCAACATCCGTTACTGCTATTACAAAGAGACGCACAAGATCCTAGGAAGCACATATGGGATGTGTGTGCTGCAGGTGTGGTATTGTTTCAGCTATTTTTTTGGTGCATTTATGTGATCTCAGTGGTGAAAGAATGTTGTGTAGTCATTCCTTACACAGTTATACTTCGTACATATTCTTATTGTTGCTTGTTAGTCTCTCATAATAAGACAAAAGCTAAATTTCAGGCACCGATAATTTCATGACCTCATTGTAGCAAAAGTGAGCATGAATTCATGTAAGTTTATCCAGGCCTCACCATTTATCTGATTGTCCCATCATATGTCTTGCTTCGTCCTGCATCCTCGCGACGCCCCACTTACCCTGGGCTGGCGGCACGCGCCAGCCCGTAGCTGGACCGAGACTCCCACTGGAGGAGGTCCCCGGCCGGACGCTCAGCGCACACCCCGCCGAGCATCACTGTGTGGATCAAGCTCGGGGGTTGGGCCCCAGGCGCATGTAGTGCGGCTCCGCCGTTATCCAGTCTTCTTCATTCTATAGCCCTGGATTCTCACTATTCGTGTAAGTCGGCCCAGGTCTCCCCATTCGTGCAAGTTGACCCAGGTCTCCCCATTCACGTAAGTTGGCCCAGGTCTGGCCATTCGTATAGGTGAGCTCACTTTCAGAAACACCATTGGCTCTAACTCGCCGTGTGCATCTTTCAGTGATGTGGTGGCGGGGGGAGAATTTATTTTTCTTTTCTGCTCGCAGAACATTTTTCAGACATGGAGTTGACATTTTGTGTGAGCGGTTATGGCGATGACTGTTCGCTAAAATTCTTTGCTGTCCCCGACCAAGTGTAGGAGCGACATTATTATTTTTTTTGGAAGGCCGAAGAATTACGCTTTGCGAAAATGGTTTAAACACGCTTTGCTTCGGGAAACATTGTTTTTGAGGCTCAGTTGATTTGCTCCTGGATTTGGGTTTGCAAACCTAAACGAAGTATCACCGGAAGGTACAACAATTTTTATCTTGCCGAGCTACAATTTTGGAGTGCCAAATTTGAAGGTGGTCCCTCTACGAGCAAACGCCGGTTTTGCTACACTGATGCTGATGACGTGACCCCCGCGCCTTACCAGCTGACGTGGGGACCGCCGGCTGGGGGTGTGTGGTGTACTCAGCGCCCAGCCGACTTGGAGACCGCCGGCTGGGGGTGTGTGGTGTGCTCAGCGCCCAGCTGACTTGGAGACCGCCGGCTGGGGGTGTTTGGTGCGCTCAGCGCCCAGCTGCCTCCCTGTTACCAGTGGTCTCCAAACTTCCCTGCCAGCGTCGTCACCCGCCCTGCTCTTTTGTGTTTTGTTCCGTCCCCCTCCCCAATCTGTGACAATTTCCCTGGCGTGTGCGGTACACAGACCCTTCTCCACTGACAACCAGACCTCGAGCGCAAACCCCGTTCCCCCAAACCGCAGGACCTCGAGGTTACAACCCGCCCCGCTCACGGTTCTAGGAGTGCTTCCTCAGCTTCCCCAGCCGCTGACCCCCCCCCCCCCTCCCCCCACCTATCTGGACGTCTTCACGGTGCTAACCCCGCTTCCCGCGGCTGCAGGACTTTGAGGCGCTGACGCCAAACCTGCTGGCGCGGACGGTGGAGACGGTGGAGGGCGGCGGCGTGATCGTGCTGCTGCTGCGCTCCGTCACCTCGCTGCGGCAGCTCTACACCATGAGCATGGACGTGCACGGTCGCTACCGCACCGAGGCGCACCAACACGTGGTCGGCCGCTTCAACGAAAGGTGGGTCGGGCGGTGGGAGCCGGGTGTCAAGGGATTGTGCAGCCGTCTCGGCCGGGTTGTGGCGCGGCCGGACTCGCTTCGGGTGTTGCGTTTTCAGCCAGGGAAATGCACGGGTGCATCACACATTTACTAATCATACCAGTGAAAACAGTATGATACGCAGCGCTAATCTGGTCTGACGGCCGTGCGAGCTCCGCGTCCGACCTCGCGCCACCACGCTCGCCGCTCACCGCCTCTCCCCCTGGAACAGGTTCATCCTCTCGCTGGCGTCGTGCCGGCACGCGCTCGTGATGGACGACCAGCTGAACCTGCTGCCCATCAGCTCGCACGTGCTGCAGTTGGAGCCGGTGCCGAAGCGGTCGGCGTCTGACCCGCCACCGGCCGGCGCGCGCCAGCTGGCGGAGCTGCGGGACAGCCTGCAGGACACGCAGCCGGTCGGCGCGCTGGTCGGCTGCTGCAAGACCACCGACCAGGTGTGGAGACGGCCGCGCCCAGTGGCAGTGGCCCGGCGTTGGTGAGGCTGGCTTCGCCTGCTCTCTTATGCTGCATGACTGTGATCAAGTAACGGGAGTCATTGCCGACCTAGCTTCGGCGACAGACATTACACAGGCGTAGCATTGTTCTGGTATGTGACTTGGTGAGCGACGAACGGTAGGCGGCTTGGCGATCACTCGTTGTGATCTATCATCCAACATCGCCGACGGTGGGCGACTTGGTATTGCTCACAAGTGCACCTTGCCACCCCAGCTGCATCCCTCAGTACCGAGCCGCCGCCGTATCTGACCGCTGCCCCCTCCCCAGGCGAAGGCGCTGCTCAAGTTCGTCGAGGCAATCAGCGAGAAACGTCTGCGCGCGACCGTGTCGCTGACGGCGGCGCGCGGCCGCGGCAAATCCGCCGCGCTCGGTCTGGCCATCGCCGCCGCCGTCGGCTTCCAGTACTCCAACATCTTCGTCACCTCGCCCAGCCCCGAGAACCTGGGCACACTGTTCGAGTTCGTTCTCAAAGGCTTCGACGCGATGGACTACCAGGAGCACCTCGACTACGAGCTCATCCAGAGCACCAACCCTGAGTTCAACAAGGCCATCGTCCGGGTGAACGTCTTCAAGGACCACCGGCAAACCATCCAGGTGGGTGGCGCTGCGCTGGGGCGCGGACTGAGGTGAGCACGCGGTGTGATTGTGGGTGTGGTAAAGCTCGCCTTGTCATCAGTGCTAGGTCTATGCGCGCTATGACTGAGTGAAGTTTGTAAACGTATTGTGTTGCTTTGGAGGGCGAGCGAGCGCACCTGAGCGGTCGCCAAGGCTATGACAAGGCCAGCTTCCTGCTGACAAATCATTGTGTCCCTGTGGTGACGCACGGATTTATCACTCGACGTTCGACAACGCGACCCCGCTTCGTGCCGGCAGTACATTCACCCGAGCGACGCTGTGAAGCTGGGCCAGGCCGAGCTGGTGGCCATCGACGAGGCGGCGGCCATCCCCCTGCCGCTGGTCAAGGCGCTGCTCGGGCCCTACCTGGTCTTCATGTCGTCCACCATCAACGGGTGAGCGGCCGCTGGCCGGCCGGGCCGCGTGTCCCAGCCAAACTGGGCTGGGCGGGCAGCTCTGGTGGTGCAGCTGCCGGGGAGTAGTGGAGGCGATCAGGGCCCTTGTGGGATCATGTATGATGTGCAGCGTCGAAGTTTTTCTGCCGTGCACTGTGCTTGGCGTTCGATAACATGTCAGGAATTGACGTAGACATGAATTTGCGTGCTGCTGATTATGTTCGCGGAGTGGGTAATGTGTGGTAACACCCGTAAAGGTAAGCACATAATAGCCTTTGACTTTCTCGGCCTCAGTCCGTGCTCGCAGTGCGTTTGAGTTCGTGACGTGTCAGGGTATGTGGGGGTGACTAGATCCATGACTGCGACTGTGACGGCGGCCGTGCTTCTGCCGGCGCCTGGCTGTGTGATGACGAGCGCGCTCGTGACGGTGTGCCGGTGACGCCGACCGTGACGCCTCCAGGTACGAGGGCACCGGCCGCTCCCTATCGCTGAAGCTGCTGGATCAGCTGCGCTCCCAGAGCGGCGCCGTCCCGGGCGGCGCCAAGACCGGCGCCGAGGCCGCCCATAACATGGGCCGCACGCTGAGCGAGGTGGGCGCAGCGCCGGTCTGAGGCGGGGCCTCGCGCGAGGTGGGCGCAGCGCCGGTCAGGGGCCTTGAGCGAGGTGGGCGCGGCACCGGTCGGAGGCCTCGAACGAGGCGGGCGCAGCGCCGGTCAGGGGCGGGGCCTCGAGCGAGGTGGGCGCAGCGCCGGCCAGAGACAGGGCCCCGAGCGAGGTGGGCGCAGCGCCGGTCAGGGGCCTTGAGCGAGGCGGGCGCAGCGCCGGTCAGGGGCCTGGAGTGAAGTGGGCGCAGTACTGGTCAGGGGCGGGGCCTCAAGCGAGATGGGCGCAGCACCGGTCAGGGGCAGAGCCTTGAGCGAGGTGGGCGTAGCGCCGGTCAGGGGCGGGGCCTCGAGCGAGGTGGACGCAGCGCCGGTCAGGGGCAGGGTTTCGAGCGCTACGATCCGGCAAGGAAAAGGTGGGGTGGGATGAGGTGAGAGGCTATAGGAGTGATGGCTGTGGGTTGACCTGGTCTGAGCGTTCAGCGTTGCGGTTGTCCGTAGTTATGTTATACGCCATGTGCTGTTGGAGCAGATGTTTTTCTTGGCGGCCTACTCACTTGAACTTTCGTGTGCAATGTTTTAAAACTATGCTGCCACGGTCTGCTTCAGGCAATTCCGTCAGCAGCTACTACACTATAAGGATACTGTTCCCCCACTCTGCCCGTCCCTGATGTGGAAGGTGGCAAGAGGCCAAGGTATTTTGTTGTACGTCCCTGGGCCGAGAGGTCCTGGTTCAGCTGCCGCCTCGTGCAGCCCACTGGTCGCGGTTCCCCGCGCTGTGGTGGGGTCACGACCGCAGCGGCCTCACGCGGCGACGCGTGGACTACCGCTGGTGACTCGCCGTCAGGTGACGCTGGACGAGTCGATCCACCGCCGACGCGTGACCGACCGCTGGTGACTAGCCGTCAGGTGACGCTGGATGGGTCGATTTACCGCCGACACGTGACCACCCGCTGATGACTCGCCGTCAGGTGACGCTGGACGAGTCGATCCACCGACGACACATGGCCGCCCGCTGGTGACTCGCCGTCAGGTGACTAGACGAGTCGATCCACCGCCGACACGTGACCGCCCACTGATGACTCGCCGTCAGGTGACGCTGGACGAGTCGATCCGCTACCGCCCGGGCGACCCGATCGAGTGCTGGCTGAACACGCTGCTCTGCCTGGATGCCAGCGCAGTGCGGCCGCTCAGCAGCGGCTGCCCGCCGCCGCAGCACTGCGACCTCTACTACATCAACCGCGACACGCTCTTCTGCTACCACCGCGCCTCCGAGGCCTTCCTCCAGCGGCTCGTCTCGCTGTACGTCGCCTCCCACTACAAGGTGAGCGCGGGTGAGAGGACCCAGGTGAGGTGCGAGGTGAGGGCCGGGCGGCCGCCGGTGGTGGGACCGCCTGGCTGCCGCGGTGTGGCCGCGCGTAGCAGACTGCACGGATAAGGTTGAGATGACGTTTGCGAGCTGTGGTGCTCATCTGGCCAAAGTATTGCTGGTAGCGACGTGGGGTGGCCCAGATGCATACAGCAGATCTCCTGCCTGTCTCACAATTATGGCGCCCGCTGTGCTGGGCTCCGTTGGGATTTGTCGACCGGTGGTGATATTTCCATTGTTTTAAGGAAGAGCGGTGAAGTTTCGAATTAGGATTTCGACGATGATGGACGTTGATACGCAGTACACCCCAGCTACCTCAGTGGTTAGCCAGCTTGAATTCACAAGACCTTTACATGTATTCTGCGCGCCTTTTTCCGGGCCGCCAATCCAGGCGTTTTCTCTCTCCTCGCGTGTTTCTTGTTCCGGAGAACGCACCGTGATATGGCCGTACACTGCCGACGGACTCTATGACAGCAGCGCCGCGTCCCGCTGGTGTATCGCTCTACCGCTGCGAACGGCATCAGTAGCTGGGGCAGCGGGTGACCGGACGCCGTTCGCGCCTGCCGCAGAACTCGCCGAACGACCTGCAGATGATGTCGGACGCGCCGGGCCACCACCTGTTCTGCCTGCTGGGCCCCGTGGCCGCCAACCAGGCGTTGCTGCCCGAGATACTCTGCGTGGTCCAGGTGAGGCTGCGCCGCCGCGACCGGTCCCTGAGGGGAGCGCCGCACGCGCACTGTGGCTCCGTGAAGACTGCGGTGCTGTGCGAGAGTTGAGACGGCGCGCCGGAAGATGGTGGATGTGGCCCGTCCACCACGTGGCACGTCGGCCCGTCGCGCCCGGTGTGCTAGTGGTGACACGTTTGACCCTTCTACCGGGCTAGGTGAGTAGGCTGCTGCACCGTCCAGCCTTGAGGCCTGTTACGTTGTGGTATTTTTGTTATGAGGTCTATGGACATGATCGTTTTGGCGACTCTGGTATGTTTTCTTCACTCACTGACGGGCATTTGTGGCCTTTTTTGTCCTTGTTGTCCACGCGGCTCCTCGCGGTGCCCTCAGGTGTGCCTGGAGGGCGAGATCTCCAAGTCGTCGATCCTGGACGGCCTGTCGCGGGGCAAGCGGGCCGCCGGCGACCTGATCCCCTGGAACATCGCGCAGCAGTACCAGGACAAGGAGTTCCCGCAGCTGTCGGGCGCCAGGGTGGTGCGCATCGCCACCCACCCCGAGTACCAGGGCGTAAGTGACCGAGCGGCCGCCAGCCCCCCGTGGGTGTGGCCGTGGTGGCCACCAGCGGACTTTGTCACCAGGCTTGGCATGGCCACGCGGCGATGTACGGCGGGTGATGGCACGTGTGGCTGAGCTGTGGCTGGGGAGCGTCAGCGGGGCCATGCTGTGTCTGGTGTACTGGTCTACTCCGTGCAACGGATGACGTTCGTCCGAAAAGCATCACTTGTGTTATGTGTGTCAAAATAAATCGGCCTGGCTGCTTTCTCGCTAGGCTGAGTTGACCACACAAGTTTGATAAGTCTGCGCACTGGGTCATGCTAGGCTAAGCTGCCTTGACGTCGAATCAGTGCCTAAAATGTGTCAGCTGATTTACTATGAAACTGACGAGTCAAAGTGCACACATTATTATGACCCCATGTTTGTTGGCTCCTTGTGAGGGGTGCATGGCCACAAGTGTACTGATGCCCCGTGTTTTACACGCACAGATGGGTTACGGTACTCGTGCCCTGGAGCTGCTTCACCAGTACTACGAGTTCAAGTTCCCGCCGCTAGATGACCTACCGGACCCCGCAGACACCCAGGTCGAGCCGGTGACAGGTACTGTGGCAGACACACAGCTTGCTTTTGGATCAATGCGTTGGCCAAAGACCAGCAGCCGTTGGTCTCTTCTAACAAACTGTGGTTTTGCTAGTGATCTGGGTAGCTCGGTCGGCTGGGTGTCGGTCACTGGCCGGCGAGTGGCACGTGTCGTCGTCGGCGGCCGCCTGTCAGCGGGACAGGAGGGCCGGGCTGAGGCGGCGCAGCTGTACCGCGGCATTAGGCTAGATGTTCAAATATGAGGCGCGAAATACATGCGAAATGTCCGTTGAATTGCTGGTCAGTCCTGCATCCTTGTAGGGGGGCGGGGTTAGAGTTTTCACAAGGCTTCCTAATAAACTCTATGATGTCAAAGGAACCGGCCGTGCAGAACATTCGCGAAGTTATGCAAGAAATGTACATTTTCTACGGGACCGTTTTTGAAGTGGTGCTGTATGCCCGTTTTGGCTTTAGAGTCCTGTCGGTAACTGCCAGAGATGTTCATCGCAAATAGGCAAAGCGCGCCATTACTCACCGACCTGCGAGGCCCGTCATCGTCACCTTCATCTCTCTGACGATGGTGGCACGGGCCAGCCGTGGACGCGTCCGTCTGGTATGGTGCCGCGCGGCCACGTGACCACCATATCCGCCTGGCGCCCTGCAGAGTCGGAGGTGGGCCTGCTGGACGAGCAGATCGCGCCGCGGAAGCGCCTGCCGCCGCTGCTGCTGAAGCTGCAGGAGCGGCGTCCCGAACCGCTGGACTACGTCGGCGTCTCGTTCGGCGTTACCCAGCCGCTGCTCAAGTTCTGGAAGAAGGCCGGCTACACGCCCGTCTACATGAGGTGACCGCGCCAGGCGCCCGGGCAGGCACGGACTCAGAGCACCCTTGTCGGGAGCATCGCTTGTACCCTGGTCCTGTTGAAGGTTGGCCGACCCTCTCCTGAGCTGACCCGGCTCTCAGATATGCCCCGGCCTGACCCGCCCAGCCACTGCCCCCAGGCAAACGGCCAACGACCTGATGCGTCCTTTGGATCTGCTCTCCGGCCCGACCCACCCCGCCCCTGCCCTCAGTGACCCGGCCTGACCCAGGCAGACGGCCAACGACCTGATCCGTCCTTAAGATCTGCTCTCAGGCCTGACCCGCCCCGCCTCTGCCCTCAGTGACCCGGTCTGACCCGCCCCGCCAGTGCCCCCAGGCAGACGGCCAACGACCTGACCCGTCCTTAAGATCTGCTCTCGGGCCTGACCCGTTCCGCCTCTGCCCTCAGTGACCCGGCCTGACCCACCCCACCAGTGCCCCCAGGCAGACGGCCAACGACCTGATCCGTCCTTAATATCTGCTCTCGGGCCTGACCCGCCCCGCCTCTGCCCTCAGTGACCCGGCCTGACCCACCCCACCAGTGCCCCCCAGGCAGACGGCCAACGACCTGATCCGTCCTTAAGATCTGCTCTCGGGCCTGACCCGTCCCGCCTCTGCCCTCAGTGACCCGGCCTGACCCGCCCCGCCAGTGCCCCCAGGCAGACGGCCAACGACCTGACCCGTCCTTAAGATCTGCTCTCCCGCCTGACCCGCCTTGCTACTGCCCCCAGGTAGACGGCCAACGACCTGACCCGTCCTTAAGGTCTGCTCTCCCGCCTGACCCGCCTTGCTACTGCCCCCAGGCAGACGGCCAACGACCTGACCCGTCCTTAAGGTCTGCTCTCCCGCCTGACCCGCCTGCTGCTACTGCCCCAGGCAGACGGCCACGACCTGACCCCCCGTCCTTAAGGTCTGCTCTCCCGCCTGACCTGCCTTGCTACTGCCCCCAGGCAGACGGCCAACGACCTGACCCGTCCTTAAGGTCTGCTCTCCCGCCTGACCCGTCTTGCTACTGCTCCCAGGCAGACGGCCAACGACCTGACGGGCGAGCACACGTGCATCATGCTGCGGCTGCTGCAGCCGGAGGGCGCCGCGCCGCCGCCGGCCGACCACTGGCTGCGCGCCTTCTGGACAGACTTCCGGCGCCGCTTCCTGGCGCTGCTCGCCTACCAGTTCTCCGTCTTCCCCACCGGCCTGGCGCTGAGCGTGCTGACCAACCGGATCCAGGCGGACGCGGCGGCCGGTGGGTGGCGGGCTGGGCGCTGGGGCGGGCGCGCTCTGTCTCGGCGAGAGTGCAGCAGGCATCCAGAGGCGTCGGTACGACCCCCGCAACTCTGACGTGCTGGGGGAGGACTGAGGCACACGGCGGCGGTGATTATCAGTTACCTTAGGGGAGTGGTTTGAGTGGAGGGGAGCCTGCTGTAAGTGTGGTCCTGTCGTGGGATGCATTGAGTGATGCTGGCTGAGTTCGTGAGTCTCTGGTATCCTGGTCAGAGTGCTGCGACCCGTGGCCCCCTGGCCTGGTGCTGTTATTGAGGAACTCGCAACTCCCTGAACTTCCGCAGAGGCGGGCGTGGCCCTTTATCCCCGCCGCCTACATACATGAATAACACTCCATCAACGAGCGCGTTCGTGACCTGGCCGCACAGAACATGGGGAGCTGTCCGCGCTGGATTCGCATGTGACGCCCTGCTCGGCCTGCAGAGGTGGAGCGGGCCGTGCTAGAGGAGTTCGTCAGCCCTTACGACCTGCGCCGGCTAGAGCTGTACGCCACCAACATGGCCGACTACCACCTGATCACGGACCTGCTGCCGGCCGTGGCCCGGCTTTTCCTGCTGGGCAGGTTCGGCGCTTGTCACCTCTCGCCCGTGCAGACGGTGAGCGCACCAGGCGGCCTCACTGGCCGCCAGGCGGCGTCGATCTGGGACGAGGGAGGGCACGGCTGCCACCAGCGCCGAGCGAGTGGGGTCCACGCGTTAGCAGCGGTGTGGAGGCAGAAAGCTGGGCAAGACTGGCGACTTTCTGGCCGTGCGAGGAACGCGAAAATCTTGGGTTTGGTGGTGTGCCTTTCCGGAAATGTGACGGTGCTGTCCGCCATTGCTGCTTTCATCTGATACTTTAAAATAGTTACCCGCATTGGGTGATATTTTAAGCAAGATGGCTGGCTGAGGTAACAGAAGCAGTTTGGCTTGTTCCTGAAGCCTGGCGTTTCCCCGCCGCCACCGAGAATGATCTGAGGGCTGCATGGTCCTGAGCTGTCGGTTTCAGCACTGCAGCCTGCTCCGGGGCAAGCCGGGTCACTCGGCGACTCACCATCCCTTGTCTGATGCTATATGTACTGACGAAGGGTATGATATCTGTTGACTGGATGTTCGCTCCTTTCCAGTGCATTCTGATCGGGTTAGGTCTACAGCATAAGACGGTGGACCAACTGGCCACGGAGCTGGACCTGGCGGCGAGCCAGCTGCTCGGCCTCTTCAACAGGACCATCCGCAAGCTGACCCAGGTGCTGCGCGCGGTAAGTGCATAGTGGTGTCGGGATGTAGTCATGGCTGTGTGCTGGTTAAGCGCTGCGATGGGACGTTAGCATGTCACAATGTGGTTATGTTACTCTGCAGTTCATGCGGGTGCACCCGTGACGCCAGGAGCGTGGTTTCAAAATTGCAAACATTTAAGAGCAAGCCCACCAATATTGCCACTGCCATTATTGGTCACGTAATGCTGTTGTGGCCTTAGTCTTTACGCAGCAGCACGTTTACCGGTCATTCGTGGCCGGCCAGGTGTACGAGAAGGAGATTGAGCAGACATTCGCAGCGCGGAAGACCGTCGACATGGAGCCGGCGGCCAAGACCATCAGCGACGAGCTGGAGGAGGCGGCGCAGGTGAGCCGGCGGCCCAGGGCGGCAGAGCTGGCGGGCTCCGGGCGCGCCGGCGGGTGGAGCCCGGAGGTGCTGGGCGCCGGCGCTGAGGTCGCGGGTGGGAGCCAAGGACAGCGGGCTCCCTCACCGGGGCGCCGGGCTACAGCTTCTGGAGTTGAACAGCGCACGAACACAGCGTGGCGTGACCGGTGCTGATTCATGCTGTCCGTTCGTATGGAATGGAACAGTTTCAATCCGAGACTGAAGTGGGAGAGTGAATATAGCTGTACCGCGGAGCGCTTGACCCGTCGCGATTCTCGAGCGCTGCTGACAGCGAGCACGTGAGACGCGCGCGTGACGTGCGGTACGTGACGTGCGGTACGTGACGTACGGTGCGCTGCAGGAGCTGGCCGCGAAGCAGAAAGCTGAGCTGGAGAAGCTGAAGCTGCAGGACCTGAGCCAGTACGTCATCAAGGGCTCCGAGGGCGACTGGGACGCCGCGCTCGGCGCCGGCAAAAAAACCAAGAACTCCGTCTCCGTCAAAAGGTGTGCAGCGGGCGGAGAGTCGGGAGTGCTGGAACCAGGCGGGGTTGACACTTATGGTGTGCAGCTTCACTGAGAGGGCTCGAGTGCGGACAGCATCGTGGCTAGCCTGTGTTTTGCAATCGCCTCGAATTGTTCTGAATTAGCCGGGGAAATTGATGCATTTTCTTTACGGCCAGTGAACTTGAGCGAGAATCCGTAGCGGTGGCGGCGCTCCTGTACCCTGATTGTTGTGTTTTGTCTAGTGATCGTGTTGTGGTGATGCGAGGCTCGCCCCCGTTCCCTGACGGCGTTTGCTGTTGCAGCGGCGAGAAGCGGCTGGAACGCTCAGCTGTTGATATGGACATCGACGCCATGGACGTGTCGGTGCCCAAGAAGGCCAAGCGCGAGAAGTTCAAGAACGTCGGCAAACCCAAGATGGAGGGCAAGAAGGGCAAGGCCAGCCGGAGGTGAACGTGAATAGCTCATATCAAGTTGTATCACATGGTCGTCGCATTACAAGAGTCATGAGATCGGTGGTTTGTTTTTGAGCTGTATCGGCTGCTCTGTCGGGAGATGGCTGAAGACATGTCGAGTTGCGCGCTCGTTTTATTCTTGCGCCGTCACGCACTGCACGGCGTCGCGTGACCACATAGAGGCTTATGACAAGCAGGCAATTATACATCTGAACCTTTTTTCTTTTTTTTGATAGACGTACGAGTGGGTGTTAGTGGCCTGTCTCTAAACGTGCCACCTTTACCAACACACCACTAAAGCCGGCTTTGACACATTCGTGCAGCAACTGTAGCTGAACGCTACAGCAGCCAGCGCAGTACGACGAAGCCCGCTCGAGGCGCGTGGCGACAGGGTGACCACCGTGAGCCGGCGCCGGGTGTAGACCCGCCGGCACCCGCAGCCGCCGGGTGTAGACCCGCCGGCACCCGCAGCCTCTGGGTGTTGGCCCGCCGTCACCCGCAGCCGCCGGGTGTAGACCCGCCGTCACCCGCAGCCGCCGGGTGTAGACCCGCCGGCACCCGCAGCCGCCGGGTGTAGACCCGCCGTCACCCGCAGCCGCCGGGTGTTGACCCGCCGTCACCCGCAGCCTCTGGGTGTAGACCCGCCGTCACCCGCAGCCACCGCGGTTCTCGACATCGGTCACACCGAACCGTTCAGTGACCGGTCGGCTCCCGCTCATGACGGCCTACACCGGGGCCAGGTGTGCACTTCAGTTGGCGGTCACACGTGTCCAGACGACCGGACCGGCCGAATGGCAGCGTGAATTCTCCGCTGCTCTATGAGACGCCGGGTCTGCAGCACGATACCGCCATAGTGCCTGATGTCGGCTCGCACGGCCTCGCGCGCGTCCCGCTGTGGACCACGGGCGTCCCGGCAGCGCTAGACCTTGGACGCGCAGTCCTCCGGGTCGATGAGGTCAAGCAGCCGGAGGTAGCAGATCTTCTTGACCTCCTCAAGTCCGGTGCGGAGCTCCGTCGTCTCGTCGTTCTCCAGACGCTCCTTGATCCCGCTGAAGATGGCCTCCTTCTTGTTCATCCGCACGCACACCACGAACGGAAAGTCGAACTTGTCCTTGTACCTGTGCGGTGGCAACGTATGAGGACTGGTGCCATCAGCACCAACAGCACTCCTCCCGTCCACGATGGCGTGCGATATTTTGCCCTTCACGTCTGTCAGTCAATCCATTTGTTCTACTCGACCTTCAGTTATCTCTTCCCAGAGTGTGAACGCCCAACGATGTATAGCCTGGCCATTACAGGGTGGTAACACCGTGATGATGATTGGGGTTTTAGGGCGCGTCGACTTCTAGGGTCATTTTGCGCCCAGAGGTAACACCGTCGTATACATGGACCATTACAGGGAGGTTACACCGTCGTATACATGGTCCATTACAGGGAGGTTACACCGTCGTATACATGGTCCATTACAGAGAGGTTACACCGTCGTATACATGGTTCATTACAGGGTGGTAACACCGTTGCATGCATGGTCCATTACAGGGTGGTTACACCGTCCGCCTGTCTGAACACTTAGTGGTCATGGGATTGCCGCCATCCACCCTAGAACCCCCCTCTCTTATAACCAGCCAGCAAAAGATGCACTTACGGGCTCCACTAAGTCGCCCGCGATAAGCCGTATGATCATGTAAATCCTTCGGAATTTGTAAACCATTCCTGCGCTCAAATGCCGCTTGCCATAAAACGCTTCAGCTCCAGCACACTTTGCATTGAAGTCGTGGGTTCGGACATGGTGTGTAGCGGCAGGAGCTACACCGTCGTGTCCCAGAAGCAGCGTCCACAAGAGCCCAAGTCCCTGCGTCCGCGAGCGCGTCGTCGCACCTCTGGTTGTTTTCGGCCAGCCAGCGCTGCTCCTCCCTCTGCCAGCTGGGTCAGGCCGGCGCTGCCCTGCTCGGTGGCAGAGTTGGCCGTCAGCGTCCCCTGTCGCGCCGCCCGGCCCGCCAGGTCCGGGTGCACCCGCAGGATCGCCTGCTGGCCTGAGGGTCGGCGCTGAGTCAGAGGACCCCAGGAGCGGGCGGGCTGCTGACCTGAGGTCTTTGTGATGGGAACACCCTCGTGAATGGTGACTTCTGAGATATGTGGACTTTGGGATCGTAAGGTATGAGGCACAAGACCACTCTGTCAGTTTGTGAGGTACGCGAGTCCTCGGCTCTCTCGACGGAATCAGTTGTCAGAGAATCACACCATCCCGTATTGTGGAACGTCATGCAAACTTGAGTAAGTGCCTGCCTGCCAACCTGCGAGTAAGCCCGCCGTCCTGCTGTGTCCATCCCTGGCTTACCATCCAGTCCGCCATGTAAGGCAGATATCAGCAGATCATCCGGATAGAACCCTCTGAACACACTTGGTAGCACACACGACGGGTCTAATGCTATTGTTTAGCTGGGCCCAGCCACCACACCGATGCTCATGCACCCATGCCAACTTCATATGCCAGTGAGCAAACGCATGAGGTCCGAGGAGCTCAGGGACGGCCGAGCTCATCTGATCGGAGTTTCCACGAGCGGGTTCTCGCCGAGCTGTGAGACGTGCCGTTCTGTGGCAGCGAGTCCAGGAACGTGCTCAGGCACTCGTGCAGGTCGTTGATGTCCCGGAAGGGTCGGCTGCCCCAGACAGCGCCAGCAGCTTGACTGCAGTGCTCCACCACGTTGCCGAACCTGCCGGACGTCATAACACGGGCGTCCGTCCAGACAGTGGAGGAGCAGACATGCCAGACGTGTCACACAGAGACAGCGCCATCCCCTGAGCACGCGGACAGAGCAGTGTCCCATCACAGGACTGGTGCTGAACCGCTGCGCGGCGAGCACGACCACGTATGGAAGCGGTGGTCATGGTAACAGTGGCGCAACACGTCTTCAACGATATTGAGCCGACAGTGACCCGAGCGCGACGTTCCATGGCGTTACGGACGTCGTCAGCAATTGCCAAGCGTGCTGACGAACTGCGAAGGACTCGGTTATGTTTCAGTGTGAGAGGCGGAAAGCGGCACGGATATCTCGAGGTGCGACAAGTGTCGCACAGCTCACATGCTTCAGTTAGATGTTCTTTGTTAATGGGCTGTAAAGTACTGAATGGCTGGAGAAGTGGGCCGACTAGAGTTTTACCAATAAGAGCTTGCATTTCACTGAGAGGTCGAGACAGTAAGATCTGCATGAGATCACATTTAGGTGCAAAGCTGGCTTAAGTCTGCTACACAAACACGAATAATCTCTCAACGGCAATACACCTCTCAAACGCGCACTCGCCTCTCGATGAAGTCCTCGTATCCCAGGAGATTGACGTCCGCGATCGTGATCCTGCCGGTCGTCATGTTTCTCGTCCGCTGCCCCGCACACCCGCTGAGGACGGCGCGCGGGTCGAGTGCGGCGTCTTGCCCGGCCAGCCCGACCGTCCGCTGGCAGTGAGGGTGTGACCAGAGCCGGCGACGGCATCGCTCAGCCCGCGATGGCACTATTCACTGTTTACATTGGTGTCCAGGGGCGCTTCCAGTGTTTGAGGGGCGGGCGGATGACAGCGGGAGAGGGGCAATGCGTGGCAATGCGTGACCTATCCCGTGGTCGCCAGGTCTGACACTGCCCCAGGACCACCGGTACAGCTGGTGCCGTGGCGCTGAAATCGTCCTGTGGCCAAAATGCCTCCGGCCGTGAGACATGAAGGCCGCTTCTCAAACAAAGCGCCCTTGCGGGCTGTAGGCCCTCCGCCGTCGCCGCTGGGCGCGTCCAGGCCGACACGGGTCTGTTTATGAAGGGTGAGGGAGGGCGCGTTGCCTTGGCCACGGAGCCACAACGAGACACAGAGCGCCGTGTTAGGGCTCGGCGAGTTAGGCGAAAGATTATCCAAGATCGCTTTCGCAGAGCAGTGGAGAAAAAAAACGTGTCCGCTGCGGAGTCATGAACCGGCGGCCATGAACCAACAATTCTGCACCAGCGCCACGGCGTCCACGTGTGCTGACGAAACAAGCATCACACCACTGTCCCCAAATGTGGGCCACAACGTAACTAGACCACTCACTGGTTAAGTGGTGGTGACAGCAATTAGCAACCCATTCATTTGCTTCGGCAGCGCTCTTGTCGCGTCCCAACGTCCCCACGACGGTCATGACGAGGCGTCGCCGTGCTAATTCATGATAGGAAATCAGTGGTCGGTCTCATGTACGCGCACAGAATGGCGAGTACTTGATATTACGTCACGCTGTACGCTCTTCACGTCATATTACATATTATGTCACGCTTGATATTGCGTCACCTTTACCACCTCTGTCTGTGCCAGGTGGACAGCTGTCACTGACAAAGGTGGACCCCGGCTCTGGTAGCACCTCAACTGGCTGAGCACCAGGATGACCGCCATCATTGGTAACCCACCGATCTTCCCTGCGAACCGGTTTTTCTACTGCAGTCAAACCGGTTCCTGTCGCATTCAGGCGGCAGCGTTTCCCGGCAGATGCCCGCCCCGCTTCGCGCAGGAGAGAGGGTCTCTTGCTCAGACTAGCGGGCAGTGGGAAGACTAGCGCTGTGCCTGGCACAGTCGCGTGCGTCCCGAGCCCTGCGGCGGCAGTACTGTGACGGCCTGTCACACGCGAGCGGCGGCACACGCGCAGCTTCACCACGGCGCCACCAGAGCCCCAAATCCGCTTTGGCTGGTGCCATCGCGCATGAAACGATATTACGTATGTTTCGATATGGACAAGTAGCCTCTAGTTGTGACCAAACTTTCCGACCATTATGGCGTATGGCCGTTTCTGCAGATGGAATTGGGCTCGAACTCAATGCCTCTCAGTGTCTCTATCAGTTTTTAAAAGAACCATCTTTGCCTTCCACCGCCCAAACAAAACCACTGTCATTCCCCCCCCCCCCCCCACGCAAACGAGCTACGACACTTTGCCACAAGAATCGATATGATGGCGCCTGCACTCACAGTTTAAAATAGCGAGCCACCTGCGTCGGCCTTGGGCCGGCGTTGTTGGGTGTTACGCGCAGGCGCCGGAGAGAGCGCCGCTCGGGCCGTCCGACCAGCTGGCAGTCAAACCGGTGTCGTTGGGTCGGAGGAGTGTGCGGACGGCGTCACGTGCATCGCGAGTGTTGCGAGTGCCTGCCAGAAGCGTCGGCTTCCGCTCGTCAGGGCAGCTGCCGCGCTTGACTGGCGGCGACTGATCTGTTTGGCGACTGTTGATCCTGAAGAGCATACTGAGTGACGAAGATGCGCCTGCAGGGCTGCTGCGGCTGCTTCAACCTGCGGAACGGCACCGTCGCCATCGGTGCCACACTTCTAACGCTCTACTGCATGTCCTTCGTCTTCTTCGTCACCAGTGTCGCCTACCCTGCAACGATGATACATGAGTGGCACGAGACGGACGACGAACGAGCGCTGATGATCGTCAGCGTGGTGAACTTGAGCGTGTTCGCCTCCCACTTGCTCTTCAACAGCCTCCTGGTGTATGGCGCTTTCAAGGGACGACGCGGCATGGTGTTGGCGTGGTTGGTCTACCACGGGATCTTCACAAGTCTGCACGGCGTAGCCGTCGCCGCAGGCCTCGTGTACATCTGCGTGATGGGCCTCTGGCTGTACCTCATCGTCGTCAGCGGCTGCGCAGCGTTGCTGGCGACGTTCTGGTACTGGTTCGCCGTCGTCCTCAGCTTCTTCTGGACAATGCCCAGGCGCGACTGGTACTCGTAGTAGGGGTAGACGGGTGTGACTGTCGGGCCAGTAAGGGGAGCTGAATGAGGTGGAGTGGGGGAAATCTGGCAGGGATATGAACATGACGCGGGTCGTGTTGCAACGAGTTCGGCCCATGACCTTGGAGGGGTCAGTGGCAGAGGTCTTCGAGGCGGAGCTCACTGCGCCGCAGAGCTAGCTGTGATGCCTTGCATGTCCTTGTTTTTAGGGATTGACTCAGTGAACCGATAGTCATAGTATGTCGTTTGATGCGAATGTATTCGTTTTTCCTGTACACACAAGGGCTTCACACCCCAGGGGAGCGTGCCACCGATTGCGGACATTCGACGTGACGCTGTCTGGAAATTCTCTATGTTTTGTGATAGATAAAGACATCACACTGGCCGTGAATTGTAACAATATAAACCGTCATTGATGTGAGGCCACAAAACGATTGTGCTGACTCTGAAATGCATTGGTTGCTCCGAGCTGTGAACGTCCTGGGCCACTCTGAGACACCTCATGACAAAACTAAAAACAAATCAGCAGCGACCGCTGCGCGCCAACCTTCACGCTTTCACTACATGCCCCTAGCGTTACGTCACCAAGTTTTTCCAAAATGCTAGGCAAAGCAGAGCAATGTTTTCCCGATGCGCAGCATATTTGAGAAGTCATGTGCCGCAAGTAACGAGTCTGGCGTCACCAAGCAGCCCCAGCCGCAGGGCGTTAGGCAGCGCGTGCAGTTTTCACTGCCATTAGGCGTATGTCACATTGACCAAGGTTGGAATCGCGGAAGATGTGAGGCAGGCGATATCTGTTCACAACACTGTTTCCACGAGGTGCATGCGCGATATTGGTGTATTGGGACACAACCAAGGACGTAGCCAGGTCTGCCGAAAGCGGCAGTTACCACCTTTTTGGTTGGACCCCTGGACGGCCCGAAGGGTCACCCATTAACTATCTCTTGAATATAATTTGAAACAAGCGTGCAAACGTGAATGCAATTTTTGTCGTGTCATGTTTGAGGGAGATTTTGGCCCCCTTTGAAGACGTGTGATTTCTAGTCCCCGCCACTAGCCACAGCCAGCCTGCAGCATCGGTCCGCTCAGGGGCCTGACAGCGGTACCATTCCTGACCCTGGTGCAGTATCCACGCTGGTTCGCAAAACCACACCACGGAGCTGGGCGCCGTCTGTCCCCGGGTGCCTCTCCTTTCATCGGCGCCTCGGACGTAACTGACCCCAGGCCCGCCGCGTGGAGACATCACACGATGGGCCATTTGAGTCGGCGCCGGCGTGCCCGCTTCATATGAGCCCGGCCTCCCCACGTGACCCCCATTCCCAGCGCCATGGTCTGAGATGGACGATATCGCACACCTCCTTCCGAGCTGACAGCACGCGGCCGCTCGCTGCGGGCTCGGCTCACCACAAATCGGCTCACCACGGCTCACGATCGCCGGCCGGTCAGAGGTCGTCTGCAACACGAACAACGCGCGGAGGGCGGGTCGGCGCGGTCTGCCTGGGTGGCGTGGACAGACACGGCGGGTGCTGCATTATTACTGCTCGGAGGCGGTCGGCAACTGCATAAGCGGTGTGGCGGGCGCGAGTCGACGCGAAGCCCACGATGGAGGATGCCCAGGCTCCGCCTGGGCCTTACAGCGCACGGCGGGGCTGTGGAGCGGCTGAGTCGCTCCACCGTCAGCTTTCCCGTCGTCCGTTGTGGATCCCTTCAGGTGGACTGGACGCAGCATCGACGGCTGCACTCGACGAGCATTTCCAGCGAGCTCGCTGCGTACCTTTATGAGACGGTTTTCTCCCCGCAGGTCGAACTTGACCCGAAGGCTTATATTATCGATATGGAGCGCCGTTTGTACAGGCTTACAATGCTTGACGTTCGTCGTCTGGCCTTCCATCTAGCGCAGAAGCTACCCACCCGTCATCTTTTTAAGAATGATCTAGCGGGTAAAGATTGGTTGGCCGGTTTCCTGTCCAGGCATCCGGACGTGCGTGCGTGCGTGCGTGCGTGCTGCGTGCGTGCATGCGTGCGTCCATGTGTGCGGTGCAACCCCGGAGCAACCAGCGTAAGCAGAGCCGTTGCCTTCAACAAAGAGACCGTTGCTGCATATTTAAGACTGCGCAAGGAAGTGTTGGTAAACAGAGATTACACAGCTTGTCATACCTGGAACGTAGATGAGACGGTTATCACACCAGTGCAAGCATGCAACAAGATATTGGCTTAGGGGAAAGAGCCATGGGTGGGGGTGAAAAATGCCTTTTCTGTCACCGACGTAATTTGTCACCGTCTCAATTATCACCTGGAGTCAAATCTTTCAGAAACCGTTGCAATGCAACGCTATATGCGATAAACCCCAACAAAGACAAATGAAATGGAATACGGCACAGCCATGCACATTTCGTTTCGGGAGCTCATTTGCACGGAAGGATCATTTCCTGGCCATCAAACACTGAATGAAGGTTTACAGTAAACTAATAAAATCACCAGATAAAGACAGGAGCCTAGAGCCTAGCCTAGACGTGTGTAGTTTCCTTTTCAGTTGAGGAGAGAGGGAAGAGGAGGGGGGTTGTGCCTCCTAACCGGAGGTGAAGTTTTCTATTTTCAGTTGACATCTTTATCCATAATTTTTCACTACTCATAATATTTATGATTCAGCCTCAAAACTGATTCTGAGAAACTACACCCATGGCAGCGAAACGACATGGGTGTAGCACTTCTTCAATTCACACTTCAAACACTTCAATCTGGGGAGAAACTGATTTAAATGCATTTCGGAGGCAGGGTCAGCCATTTTTTACTCTGCACCCTCCTCTCCCTGCTTCTTTAACCCCTACGTATTTTGAAAAACTGCATCCCAGTAGCCCTACACTTACTGACATCATTGTTGCATCGTAGCCTCGTGTCGCATCCAGGGCAATACAACACCGGGTACTCCAAAGTTTTGACTAGTAGGTATCGACACATACTATAAGTATACCAGAATCGGAATTAACACCAGATTTAGAATGTTGTACCAAAAGTTTGCAGTGCTGTGCTAGCGGCATATTTGGTTTGTGGCGATTAAATGTAATCACATTTCTCAGTCGCAAAACACTTGAATTGTGGTGTGGTATTGGGGATGGTGGTCGGAGGGTCGGATTGTGTTCAAGTAATTTCAGATGCCTCTGGGCCAATCAGATGTATGTTGTTCTTTGCTAAGTCACATGTCTCAGTTTGCATATGATGACTCATTTAAACATTCTGCGGCAAAACTGATGATGTAATGATTCAGTTACTGCACAACTTGCCAGTTATAAATTATGTGGCCCAGGCTGCCGGCTGTTGAATGCTTGTGGAATGCTGCATGCAAAGTGATTGGCCAAGGCATGCTCAGGTATATTTGTGTTGGAGCTAAGGGCCTTGTTATTTTTTAATACATGAATATTGAGATTGTTGTCTGATTGGCATTTGAATATTCCACACAAGCATTGATAGCCTTTGTCCACAGTGGCGTTACCACTCATGAAATGGGCCAACCAGTAATTATGTCAGCTCAGCACAGCTGTGTGGTTGCATCAGATGTGTTTATTGAGACATGAAAGGCACTAGTGTAATGGAAATGTTTGGTATGATGCAATGTGGTGCACATACCTGATACGACATTTCACCGAAGGAGTTATCTGTCTGCACTGTTAAGAAAAGGTCATCTTATGTCAAAAATAGGCTGAGTTTCCCAGCATAATTCAACTTATGTTGAATTATGTTGAATTACAGACCAGAGCTGAGCTCCTGAAGCTTGCCCCGCACCTGCGGCATAGTAGCAGCTGGAGTAGGTTGTTCATTTCTCAGGACAAAACCCGCAAAGAGAGGGAGGAGGATAAGAAACTGAGAGAGGAACTCTTCAGGAGAAGGGAGGCAGGTGAGCTCAACCTGCTGATCAGGCAGGGGAAAATCATCAAGCAGAGTGCCCCATTGTCACAAGTGGCTGATGGACCCAACGGCACCAGTGTGGTTCACTCTACCATACCAGCGGCAGCTCCAGGTATCCGGCGAAGTGGTGAAACGTCAACAGCTCCAGCTGTCTGCCAAGCTGATGGTCTCAGAGGCACCAGCATGGTTCTTCCGGTTGCCTCTGGACCTACAACAAGCCCAAGTGAGAACTCCAGGGGCACTGAAGCGGGATTTCCCCCTTTATTGGACCCTGCTGGTGAGGGTATTGTGGGTCACCCCGCTCAGGCTCCCAGGGGTTCTAGGGGCTCTGACAGGAGTGACAGCTACACAGCGACCTCAGTCACTGGGGATGGATCCGCAAATCAGCATACTCAAGTTCAGGCTGATGCTGGTTCCCACGGTCCGCAATGACTGCATAATGCTCATCAGTGCAGGGGTAGGCAAGGTCTGAAGATATTGTACACCAATGCTGACCAGTTCCTTAGTAAAAGGGATGATTTATGTCTGCTCATTGCTGATGATAAGCCAAATATCATGCTGTTGACTGAGGCCCTTCCCAAGGCCCAGAAGCTTCCTATTGCACCATCTCTCCTATCAATTTCCGGGTACACCCTGTACACAAACTTTAATCTCTCTCAGCCCAACCTTGGATCTAGTGGTAGAAGAGGCATATGTGTCTATGTGTCCAACTTACTAAATGCAGCTGAGCACTCATTTGGGTCAAGTCCTCTGGAGCAAGTGTGGCTGAAGATGGCCTTGAGTGGGAAGGATGCCCTGTTACTTGGCTGCATATACAGAAGTCCATCAGGCAACATCCAGGACAGTGTGAGCCAACTGGAAGACCTTCCTCAGAAAGCATGCAGAGCCCAGTTCTCTCACGTGATGGTTGTAGGTGACTTTAACTTGCCTCAGATCGACTGGGCAACAGAGCGGTCGTCAGCTCCAGAGAGTCACCCAACCCACTCTTTGATTGACACCATTCAGGGCTGTTTCTTGTTTCAGCATGTCCGGCAGCCAACACGCTACCGGGTTGGTGAAGCTCCTAGTGTTCTGGACCTAATTTTCACAAATGAGGAG